TAAAATTGTTGCCATGTCTTGGGAAAATGACCTCAGTGTCTTAATTTTTTTTCTCTGGTGGTGATAATATTGAAAATGTTATCTCTGGACGACCAAAAGTTATGAAATTTCTAAGTTTTATTTGAAGGCCAGTAGTGATAATTTAAAGTGGGTAGGGCTCTTGCCTGTGACTGAGCTGGATTTGATCCCTGGTACCCCATGTGGTCCCCAGAGCCTGCCAGGAGTGATCCCTGAGTGTAGAACCAGGGATCTGAGCACTGCTGGATGTAACCCACTACCCCCAGATTGGAAAAAAAAAAAGTGCCAGCTAATAATTTTTTCTTTAACATGCATAATGGAATATTACTAATTCTATGATATTTGTTTCTTCTTAACTAACATTATTATTATTTTTTTAAGAATAAAAAGTCTGGGGACAGAGATCTACTACAGGCCACTTGTTTTGCACGTGGCTGACCTGGGTTTAATCTCTGGCACCTTATGGGTGTCAGAGCCCTGCCAGGAGTGATTCCTGAGCACAGAACCAGGAGTAAGTCCATAGTTTCATAGAGGCCAGGCCTCTGTGGGCAGTACCAGGGATGGAACTCAAGGCCTTAGATATGCCAGGCATGTCCTCTACCACTGAACTCTACCCTAACCTTCTTTAATTCTTTTAATTTTTTTAACTTTTATTTTTTTTTTTGCATTTTCAAAGCATTTCCTTTTAATGAGGACTTAGCTCCAATTCATCCAAACATTAAAATGGAAAAAAAGAAGAAAAAATCTGTTAACATTTTTAAGATAGAATGTCACACAGTTCAAGGAAATCCATTCATACTTCAGGTCCTACTCCTTCAAGAACTAGCTGTACTATATTATTTCCATTTAGAAAAATCTGATTATTCTTCCTTCTGGTGTGATTTCAAATTCTGCATTTTCCTGTCCCAGATTAACAAAATCACCATATCCTAAAAGTATGCCAATAATTAACTTTTAATTTTTTAATCTAGTTTTATTGACTTAATTTATTTTTGGTTTTGGGGGGGCCATAATCAGAAGCTCAGGGCTTCTATTTCTGCATTCATGGATCACTCCTCGAAAGCTCATGGGATCATTTGGGATGCCGGAAACAATCAAACCTGAATCCAATGGAAGCAAGGCAAGATTCATACTCTCTGTACTGTCTCTCCAGCCCTAATTCTTTTCTTGGGGGGGGAGGGTCACACCCAGCGATGCACAGGGGTCACTCCTGGCTCTGCACTCAGGAATTACTCCTGGCGATGCTCAGGGGGACCATATGAGATACTGGGAATTGAACCCGGGTCAGCGGCGTGCAAGGCAAATGGACTACTCGCTGTGCTATCACTTCAGTCCCACCAGCCCTAATTCTTTTTTTTTTAATAATTTATTTATTTATTGAATCACTGTGGCAAAAGTTACAGAGCTTTCAGGTTTAGGTCTCAGTCATGTAAATAGCAAACACATTTCCCTTTACCAGTACTTATTTTTTACCACGAACCCCAATAGAACCCCACCTCCCACCCCTCCCAATTCCTGTGAGGCAGATGAATTCTAGTTAACACTCTACCTACTTTGACTAGATTCTTTGTTTCGATAAAAGATGCACCATTATTATTTTGAGTTTACCCCTCCCAATCAGACATGCTGAAAAAGCATTGTGAAATGATTTGCTTTCTACAGCTGGGTTCAAGAATTAAATGTTGTCGCGTGGCCGCTACTGCGGCCGCGCGGTTTTGGATTTCTGCTATTTTACTTATTAACCCTTGAAGTATTTCTACTGAGAGTCAGATAATTAAGAGATTGGTTTCTGTGCTCTGGAGTCGTGGCCGTGCCGGAGAGCCGCTGGAAGGGGGGGCAACTGGTGACCTCGGTAGGGCGTGAAGGATGGGCCGGAACGCCCCCCTTCCCATGAGGTTTTAGTCGCCCCCTCACCCCCGGCTCATACCTGCTCTCCACAAGGCTCCCATGCGGCCGCCATCTTTCTTTCCAGAGAGGAGAGGGTGGAAGGGAGCAACACCCTTTCCCCTCCAGGCAGGCAAGATACCAGCCCTAATTCTTAAATGAAAAAATATAATTTACTTTGGTAGACTTAAATATTTCAGAGCAATTTTAGGTTTGTAAGAAAAATTAAAGAAATGCAGGGGTTTTTGTATGCAGTTTATGTTATGTGCTCCCCCCCCACCTCAGCCTCTCCTGTTATTAACAATTCACGTTGGTATGGAACATTGATTACAATTGATGAACTAATTTATACAGTTAGTAACCAGAGCCCCTAATTTCCATTAGGGATCACGCTGTGAACACAGTCCTCTGGATTTTCCCAAAAGTTATTTTCATGGATCTACTCTAACAAACAGCATTCGGAATATTTCATTGCCCTAAACATAGCCTATCCTCCACTCATTTCTATAAAGTTAACAGCAGCTTGTGGCAAGAACCCCTCCCTCCAAAATTCTCTTTAGCCTTTATGGATGTGAAATGATTTTCTATCCCACTGACCCTTTTTCATCACTTGTGCATCTGTCTCCTCTGTAAGGTCTCCGGAGAGTCAGCCACCCCGACTCCTGAGAAGCTTCTTCAAGGTGAGTTTTTGAGGAACAAATCTCTATTTCCCGCCTCTGGTGCAGCATCCAGCTGATGGCATGGTCTCCCTGAACTGACCTTTGTTTCCACCTGTCGGGTTCTGTCCTTTTACATGTGCCCGTCATGGACCAACTGTTTGGGATGGCCCGCAGGGATCTAACACGAAGAAGACAGAGATTAGGAAACACACGGTGGCATTCCCACTGTGGGGACAGGCCAAGAACCACAGTTTCAGAGTGAGATGGGAGGACCGTGGGGTGGCATGTCCATTCTTTTTTTTTGGGGGGGGGTCACTCCTGGCGGTGCTCAGGGGACCATATGGGATGCAGGGAATTGAACCCGGGTTGGCCTCGTGCAAGGCAAACGCCCTACCCGCTGTGCTATCTCTCCAGCCCCTGGCATGTCCATTCTTGAGGGTAGTGTGGCCAAGAACGGAAGCTCACCTGTTTCTGTTGACTTCCTCTCTCATCTTCTAATAGAAAGAAGTGGGGCCAGCAGAGATGCTTCCGGACCCCGTGCCAGGTTGAGTCATCCAGGGCACCCAAAGTCACCATCGAGTTAAAATTTTAACTTCATTTGTGTCATCCCATTCAAAATTTTTGAATTCCTGTTTGACATCTCAAATTCTATACCACTGATAAACCAGGAGTAGCACACCACATTGGATGGGTTGTAAAGTAGAAGGTAACTAATCTTGATTAACAAAATATAAACACACAAGGTTTCACCGGTAACTACATGTTAGTAATCCCTTCTTCAAGGGCTTAATGGCTCCAAGGCAAGATACAACAATCTTTACACACTTTCTTCTAAGGGAATATATTTTGATAATTTTTTAGCAAATTGTTTATAACACGCAATGTAAAATAAATTATTCAGGGCCTGCTATAGGAGTGGTTGGGGAAATTGGAAATAATAGTGGAAAGGTGAATGCTGGTGAGATTGGTGTTGGAATACTGAATGTAACATCATCATGAATAACTTCATTTAAAAAAAAACTTCTTAATAATTTAAAAAGAAAACCAAGCTGTAGGGCCAGAGTGATAGTACACTGACTAGGGCACTTCACTTACACTCAGCTGACCCAGGTTCAATCCCCCGGTGCCCCCTGATGGTCCCCTCAGGGCCTCCAGAAGTGCTTCCTGAGCACAGAGCTGGGTGTAGCCCAGAATCTAAAACAGATAGCAAGGAGATCTCTAATCGAGGTGCAGAATATTTAGGGTGGCTTTATCACTTAACGCCCAGTCTGGCACACTTTTTGTTTGTTTCTGGGCCACACCCCGCCCAGTATCCGGAATCAACCCAGGCCTCCGACTTGCACTCGGGCCTTCTGACTGGTCTTCCAGCGCCCACCTGGGTGCACTTTACACCATGGCAAGCACTTACAGCAGAGCAATAATCCACTTCCCCGATAAGCCAAGTGATGTTCACACCCTTTACTGGAGGAACATCTCTCTGTCTGGGACCTGCTCCTCTCCTGCATGTCAGTTCCCACACCCAGAATTCACCTGTGTCATCTGGGGCTGCTTTCTCCTTTTTTTTTTTTCCTTTAAAAGTTCTTTTTCTTTATTGTGTCAGACTTTGGATTTTTTTTGTTTGTTTTTGGATTTTTTTTTAAAGAGTTTTTGTCCCTCTAAAACTTGTTCAGACTTTTTTTTTCCCCTTGATTTTGGGGCTACACCAAAAGTGCCCAGCGGCAGTGCTCAGGGACCAAACTCTGGTGGAATGCATGCAAGACAAATGTCCTACCAGCCATGCTATCTCTAGCCTAGAGCCCTTCATATTCCGCATTTAGTTATAATCTGTCCTCTGCTGCTGCTGAGTCGGATTCTCAGCACAGTCGCCAACAAATCTATCTTCTATTGAAAGACATTAGGCTGAAAGATACTGCAGAGGGGAAAGCATTTGCCTTGCACACAGCCAAGGGGTGTGGGGGGGTGGGGGGGTGTCCATTCTGGGTACCCCATAGGATCCCCGGAGCTCACCAGGAGTGATCCCTGAGTGCAGGGTCAGAAGTAAACCCTGAGCATCGATGGGTGGGGCGTTTGCCATGCACGAGGCCGACCCGGGTTCGTTTCCCAGCATCCCATATGGTATCCCCAGCACGGCCAGGAGTAATTCCTGAGTGCATGAACCAGGAGTAACCCTCTGCGTCAATGGGTCTCTGCATGCATTGCTGGGTGTGACCCAAAAAGCAAAAAAATAAAAAGGGGGGGTGAGGTTTGGGCCTTTGAAAAAAACGTTTGCAATAACTGCGCCTGTAGGGGGTCTTCCGCGTATGCGTCCTCTCCCCCCAAAGTGAAAGTGCTTGGGATAATCTCCGGGTTTTCCCTGAAGCGAACCACTTGTCTCCCGGGCACGCGTCACGGGTTCCCGAGTGTGCAGGGCTCCTCATGCCCACTCTGTGTTTCGTTCAGGAGCCGCCGCTTCCCCAGCCCGCAGCGAGAGGCCCGCGGAGGAGCCCTCGGCCCTGGCCGCTGCCACCATGCCCAAGAGGAAGGCCAAAGGCGACGCCAAAGGGGACAAGGCCAAGGCCAAGGAGGAGCCGCAGCGGCGGTCGGCGCGCTTGTCGGCCAAGCCCGCGCCCCCGAAGGCGGAGCCCCGGCCCAAGAAGACCCCCGCCAAGAAGGGGGAGAAGCCGCCCAAGGGGAGGAAGGGCAAGGCCGAGGCGGCCAAGGAGGGCAACAACCCCGCCAAGGGCCGCGACGCCGCCGCCACCGCGTCGCAGCGGGCCGAGGGCGCCGGCGACGCCAAGTGAGGGGACCGCGGGCGCGCCCGCCGCTGGGACTCGGCCCTGGGTGCGAGGGGCTTTTCCTTTCCGACCCGTTTTATAACAATGTAGCGGTCTTGGTTGTTTCGTTTCCGTTTTTGTTTCTGTTTTTCCTCTAAGTTATGTTGTTAGCGCACAGCACACTTGGTTGATGTCGTTTGTGGGAAGGGCCAGGACCACTAAGAAGGGCCCAGAAGCTGGTTTGCAACGGGCTGGAGGAGTTTCTGTGGCTTTAGATGATTCTGGGTACCCCGGAGCCACCGTCTGGCCGACACACCCCCGACCCCTCGGGGGCTCAAGGCCCCCACCCGGGGACAAGAGACATGTCCCGTCCTCTCGGGCCGGCGCAGACGATGCCAAAACCCAGATCCTGCTGCGGCCTTGGCACCCCGACACTTGGCTCTGTCTGACTCCTTGCCCGGGCCCGTCGGGGGGTCCGCAGAGGGGGGCTGTTGGCAAGTGTGTCCTGGGCACCGTCGGGCTGCGGACAATCCGGTTTTCACGGCTCCAGCTCAGAGTGGACCCGAGCAAAGCAGTTTCAGGCCCGGGAACGGGCCGCCCCGTCGGAAAACACCTGCTTTTCCGCAACAGCAGGAGACTGTCAGTGTCGCGGTGGCAGGGGAGGGAATCTGGAAGGTGTGAACTGTGTTCTGCGGGAGTTCAGTGCTTTTGAAAAGGAGCGCATCAAGCTGGATACAAGTCGGTTTGGCAATGGGAGCAGAGGCCTTATTTTCTGCCCAAAGTTATTAAAGATATTCTTTATTGCATCGTAAAAGTTTTATAGTTTTGCTTATCACATTTGTGGAAAATGTGAGCTAGACGTTCAATGTATTTTTTTTTCCCTGTATGGGTTAATGGTTGTTCCAGCACTGTTTGCTGAAAAGTTTCTTCCACCTACTAATCCCTAACACTGATTTATAAATTGTCGTGGTGGGGGCCTGTTCATGGTTTTCCTGACTCGCTGGGCAGTTGGTCTCGCCCTGAGGCAGTACTGCACAATTCGGAGTGCTCCAGTTGTAGAAAAAAGGCCCCGCTGGGTCAGGAGAAGTCCCACCTCCCTCAAATTTTCTTTCTTGGATGTTTCTTGGCTAATTCTTAGGCCTTTGCCTTTCCATACAACTTCTGGAATTAAACCCACAAGTTTTCAAAAGAATGTTTGCATTGTATTGGATTTGTATTGAACTTATTAGATCATCACATTGCAGCTTCCGGTCCGTGAATGAGGTATCGCTCTCCATCTAGGTATTTTCAATGGCTTTCAATAAACTTTTATAATTTTCTCCATAAATGCCTTCTTTTGTTACGTTGCCTAGGGACTTTGTACTTTTTTTGTTTTTGAGGGGTTCATGCCTGACTGTGCTCAGGGGTTACTCCTGGCGGTACTCTGGGGACCATATGGGATTCCGGGGCTCCAAGTCGACGTGTGCAAGGCCAACACCGTCCTTGCTGTACGATCTCTCCAGCCCAGACTCTACTTTTTGAGGCTCTTTTATAAAGTATAGTTTGTAGTTACTGCATTTTCTATTTTTAGCTAAGTTTTTATGTTCAGCAACTTTGACAAAATGTTCAGTTTTCATATCTGTACTATTTGTGGTTTTCTACATAGCAACTATCTATTCTCTATAAAAACAACTATTCTTTATAGTTCCTGCATGTTTTTTGGTGGGGTGGTGGAGGGGGGAAGGGCGGCTGTTAGGGACTTTCCAGGTACCAGGACTCTAGTGAACAATCAGGGAAAGTCTGACCTCACTAAGCTGATTCTTGTGAGAAATTTCTGTGACAGGGGACCGTAAATAAACAAGTTGTGAGTGATAGAATGTGAGGAGATCTCCGGTGGAACACAATATAAGGAGCATAGGAGGATCAAGGGATAAGAGCAGGGGGCAGACACCCTGCACAAAAGGGGGGAAATGCAGAGTGAGGGGGAGAGCGATTCGAGAAGCTGTGGAACAGTGAGGACTGGAGAGCTAGTGCAGTGGTCAGGGCATGTTCCTTGACTGTGGCCAACCCCAGTTCTACATCTGGCACCACACAGTCCATGAGCACCACCAGGAGTGCTACCAGCTCAGAGCCAGGAGTAAGCCTAATGCTCCTGGATGTGACCCCAAAACCAACACACACACACACACACACACACACACACACACACACACACACACACACACACACCCCATGAAAGCATAGTCTATTCGCGGGCATGTAGGCCTATGGAATTTAAAATTTTAGTGTGTCTAGCAGCACCTGTTACTGTTTCTTGACAAGGGTGCTTAGTTTTTGGACAACTATTGTTGAAATGGGACCGGAATGGTTGTAGAGTGGGGAAGGCACTTGTCTTGTATGTGGCCTTGTATGTGGCCTACCCAGCTTCCATCCCTATCACATATGTGCCCTTGAGCATTTCCAGGACAATCCCTGAGCTCAGAACCAGGAGTAAGCCCTCAGCACAGACCTGACAAACAGAACGTGCTTGGAAATCAGGCTTTAAAGCTTTGGCTCACACTGGGCAATGCTTGGATTTACTCCTGGCTCTGCATTCAGGATTGACTTCTAGGGGACCATATGCGATGCCAGGGAACGAGAACGAGCTCATGTCAGCCGTGTGTCAGGCAAACACCCTCCCAGCTGCACCGTTGCTCCGTCCCCTTGCCTACTTTGAATTCACCGGGCAGTGACCTTCAGTATCTAGGAACCCAGAAATTAGTTAATAAATAGCTTGAAAGTGGGTGCTGATATGAAGCAGCCCACGTGCTGGTGAATTTGTAAGGTCTGAGGATTACAAAGAGCTGCCGCCTTGGTCTGGTGGGCTGGAGAGGAAGGGAAGGAAGGGCCTGGACCTTTCCCTGGTTTTTGCCCTCAGTCCTCTTTGTTGTGTTCTCAACAGAAGTCACAGAATTGCCAAGTGTCTTCTACACCAGCTCCTGAAAATGACCCTGAAACACCTCGATACTCCACTTCACTTTCTTTTATTTTTTCTTTTTGGGCCACATCAGGCAATGCTCAGTGGTTACTTACTCCTGCTCTGCACTCAGGAATTACTCCCAGTGGTGCATGGGGACCATAGGGATGCCGGGGTTCGAACCCTGGATGACCATGTGTGAGGCAAACACCCTATCCCCCTGTACTATCAATCACTCTGGCACCCAATATACCACCTCTTTTTTATTTTCTTCTTTTTTTGGGTCACACTTGGCGATTCACAGGGGTTATTCCTGGCTCTGCACTCAGGAATTACCCCTGGCAGTGCTCAGGGGGCCATATGGGATGCTGGGAATCGAACCCGAGTCGACCGTTTATGTGCAAGGCAAACGCCCTATCCGCTATGCTATTGCTCCAGCCCCAATAAATTTTTTTTCTTTTTGGGTCACACCCGGCGATGCACAGGGATTACTTCTGGCTCTGCACTCCTGGCAGTGCTCAGGGGACCATATGGGATGCTGGGAATCGAACCCGGGTCAACCGTGTGCAAGGCAAACGCCCTACCCGCTGTGCTATCTCTCCAGCCCCCAATAATTTTTATTTTTATTTTTTAATATACCACCTCTTGAACTCTACAGCTGTGAAGCTGTGACTCTTTCAGGCCACTTAGGGACTTCCTCCTTGGTGTTACCTTACCCCTGCAGTGCACACCCCTGCCTTTGGTGGGTCAGGAAGGCGGAGACCTGGGGCCAGGTAGTTCTATTCCTACATCTCAAAACTCTCACAGAACCGGCTCCTGGAGTCAGATTCTCCCCCCTATAGTGAGGTTCTAGAGGTCCACATGCAAACGGCTTAACCTTCCAGATACCAGGGATCACCTCTGGTTTCCGTGTACCACCTCCTTAACCCCTCTCAAAATCTTTTGAAAAATAGAAGATATTTAAACACACATTAACTACAAAGAAAGTCAGTTACACAGCAAAAAGGAAATCTTCATTAAAAGTTTGCCATCTTGGACTTGGAGCAATAGCACAGCGGGTAGGGCGTTTGTTGGGTTAGACTCCCAACATCCCGTTATGGTCCCCTGAGCACCACCAGGAGTAATTCCTGAATGCAGAGCCAGGAGTAACCCCTGTGCATCGTTGGGTGTGACCCAAAAAGCAAAAGAAAACCAAAAGTTTGTCATTGTGGGCCAGAGCAATAGTACAGCGGGTAGGGCGTTTGCCTTCCACGTGGCTGTCCCGGGTTCAATCCCTGGCATCCCATATGGTCCCCCAAACCCTATCAAGAACAATTCCTGAGCACAGAGTCAGGAGTAAACCCTGAGCAATGCATAGCAGCAGGTACGTATCTTTCTGCCCCAACACAATTTGCTAACTAGTACTATCTGTACTTCGTAATTAATTGAACGGTGAACATTAACACTTGTCCTCTAATTAGTTTTATTTATTTTTGAGTGGGGAGGGCCACACCCAGCAATGTCCAAAGATTATTCCTGGCTTTGTACTCAGGAATTAGCCCTGGGATGTGAGGAATTGACCCCTAATCAGCTGCGTGCAAAGTAAGGACCCTACTTGTTGTAATAGCGCCCTGATTACTCTAATTTCAATACGTCAAATGTGAGATATTTATAACTATTGTGATTTTAAAAAAATGTCTGAGTTGGGACTGGAACAATAGTACAGCAGGTAGGACACTCGCCTTGGACATGGCTGACTGGGGTTCAATCCCCAGCATCCCGTATGGTCCCCCAGTACCGCCTGGAAGAATTTCTGAGTGCAGAGGCAGGAGAAAGCCCTGAGACTAGCTGGGTGTGGCTTGAAACAAAAAAGGTCTGACTTTCTTGGTTGACACGGTCACAAGTACTTCCTAATTTAGTCTTTCATATGTGAAAAATATGCTAAATTTCTGTATAAATCCCAGAAGCACCAAGAAAGTTTTTCCCCTCTGAGGACAGAGGTGGGGAACAGCCCTTGCAAAAAGCTGCAAGCTTTGGCTTCATGACTGCACTGTCCATCGTTACAAAGCGAACTGAACCTCACACGAAGAATTTAGCTCTGAGTATGACCTCTGATGGGAAGAGTCCTTAGCACAAGCTTTTGTTTGTTTGTTTGTTTGTTTGTTTTTTGGGTCACACCCGACAATGCACAGGGGTTACTCCTGGCTCATGCACTCAGGAATTTCTCCTGGCAGTAGTACATACTTTTGAATTATTTTCATATATAAGTGGGGAAAGCTTCCACCTGGATCTCTGGTCTCATTATTGTTGGGTGATAATAAGCTTCTCATGAAGATATTTCATATGTGCTCTTTCCAGCAGTCAGCATTGCTTTGAGTCTCTTCCTGAAATAGTTCTCTTATGGCAGAAAGCTTGACTTTCTCTGAGGCTGTTGCTGAAGGCCCTCACAGCGGGGTTGACATGACTGACATTGGAACACAAAGCAGCTGAAGTCTTTTCTTTTCTTTTAGAGATTTTGTAGCTCCTTAGGAGATTTAAATTTTTTTTTTTTTTTGGAATCACTGTGACCCTTACAAAGCTGTTCATGATTAGGTTTCAGTCATACAATGTACCAACACCCATCCCTCCACCAGTGTACTTTTCCCAGCACCAGTCAGTGTCCCGTTTCCTTCCCATCACCCCCCATCACCCCCCAACCCTCACTCACCCTGCCTCTATGACAGATGCTCTTCTTCTTCTTCTTCTTCTTCTCCTTCTTCTTCTTCTTCTTCTTCTTCTTCTTCTTCTTCTTCTTCTTCTTCTTCTTCTTCTTCTTCTTCTTCTTCTTCTTCTTCTTCTTCTTCTTTTCTCCTTCTCCTCCTCCTCCTCCTCCTCCTCCTCCTCCTCCTCCTCCTCCTCCTCCTCCTCCTCCTCTTCCTCCTCCTCCTCCTCCTTCTCCCCACTCCTTTCCTCTCCTCTCCTCTCCTTTTGGGCATTGTGGTTTGCAATACAGATACTGAAAAGTTATCTGGAATACCCCTTTACCTACTTTTAACACTCAGTTCTTGTCTAACATGATCATTTCCAGCAGGTGTTGTTACACTGTTCCCTTCTCTAACTTACCTATCCTCGCCCCTGATCCCCCCACCCCCCCACTTGTGGTTGATTCCAACCATTGACTTCTGTTTTCCCTGAGTGGTTCCAAGAGTATCCTGCCCGCACGGCAGAGCCTGGCAAGCTCCCCCTGGCGTGTTTGATATGCCAAACACAGTAACAAGTCTCACAATGGAGACGTTACTGGGCCCGCTCGAGCAAATCGATGATCAACAGGAGGACAGTGCTAATAATTCAGGCATGCGGTTCCCGGGGCTGAGATCTCCAAGCCTGCTCAGATTGGGACTGGACCTTCTCCACCCAGATCTCCC